TTCTTTTTTTTCAGCCGTTTTTCTGACGCCTCCTTTGGTAAGGAGGAAGTGGGTGATAAACATATATGAATGGTTTTAAAAGTGCAGACATTGATTTCTCAAAACCTGTATTAGTTTACGAATAAAATCGATCGATCACCCAGAAATAAAAAAACCCTCTAATACATGGAGCTTCATCATTTCATATTATTTAGATATTTAATTACTTTTCCAGTGACATTACTGCAATGGTGATAGATGGAGGCAATCTCCATGGAAACAAATAACTGTATACACAACCGTACACACATATATTCATTTTGTTTATGTGTATATAAAATTTTTAAAAATTATTTTTTTGTTTCCGAAAGCTAATTCGAATGCCCAGAATTAAAAAAATAAATGCATAAAACGATTCAAAGAGCTTTGACCACTCCGTATAATTTACATAAATATGGACGTTGCTGTATTTGTGATAAATGGGAGTTATCTCCCTTACAACAGGTAGGCTACATGGTCTTTTCCTGTGAACAATAAAACACTTGTATAACAACTTCAATATCGACACTAAAACAAAGTCACACTCAATTACTAATAACACTGTATTCACGGTGGCATAAACACTACAGATTGACACTAAGACAAGGCCACATTTTAATCACACTGTATTCACGGTGGCATAAATACTACAGATTGACACTAAGACAAGGTCACATTTTAATCACACTGTATTCACGGTGGCATAAATACTACAGATTGACACTAAGACAAGGCCACATTTTAATTACACTGTATTCACGGTGGCATAAACACTACAGATTGACACTAAGACAAGGCCACATTTTAATCACACTGTATTCACGGTGGCATAAATACTACAGATTGACACTAAGACAAACATTTTAATCACACTGTCTTTTAAAAAAATACAGAGAACTAAGACATAGGCCACATTTTAATTACACTGTATTCACGGTGACATTTAAAGTCGTTGACACTAAACAAGGCCACATTTTAATTACACTGTATTCACATGCAAATATAATATTGTTAAGACAAGGCCACATTTTAATCAGTATTGTGTAAAACTAGAATGAACTAAGACAAGGTCACATTTTAATCACACCATATATTCACGGTGGCATAAAACAAAGTCACACTAAGACAAGGCCACATTTTAATTACACTGTATTCACGGTGGCATAAACACTACAGATTGACATTAAGACAAGGTCACATTTTAATTACACTGTATTCATGGTGGTATAAACACTAAGATTGACACTAAGACAAGGCCACATTTTAATTACACTGTATTCACGGTGGCATAAACACTACAGATTGACACTAAGACAAGGCCACATTTTAATTACACTGTATTCACGGTGGCATAAACACTACAGATTGACACTAAGACAAGGTCACATTTTAATCACACTGTATTCACGGTGGCATAAACACTACAGATTGACACTAAGACAAGGTCACATTTTAATTACACTGTATTCATGGTGTTATAAACACTACAGATTGACACTAAGACAAGGCCACATTTTAGTCATATGGTTTGTATTCACGGTGTTATAAATGTTACATGTAGATATCATGTGCCATATGGACATATGGACATGTAAACGATACTACTTGTATTTAACAATGGAACGATATGCTAAAAACATTTTATGTTGTTTTGACATGTATTTTCGTTATAAATGACACAGCCTCTGAGTCAAACTGATGATACAGTGTATGTTCGTAACTTCACACGTTACTACAATTAACTTAACATGCAAAATAAAAAACAAATGTGTCGACAATGTCATTCAAATCGTCGTCGTTTCTAATGTCACGATGATATGTCAATGATAACGCTCTGAATGTGATTATTGATATCATAAATCACATATTTTTCTCGTTAATTTATATTTGATTTTTTCATTAACACATGGATTGGATACGAGATAAATCCACCGATTCAGTCCTCTCCTAAATGAATACATACAGGACCATTTAAGTTGATGTTATGACATTACTGGACTAATGTTTATACACGTAAATAAACTTTATATACTGGTATATTTACGTTATACATGATGGCCTCCCAAAAATTGAATGTTAATATAATCCATCCATTTAGATTTTATTGGGTAAAACTCGATTTAACGACTATTATTATAATGGCGGATATACTTACACCACAAAAAACACATCGAAAACACATGTCACCACATTCCTTTCACTACCAAGGTCTGATAACACTCCAAAACACTTTGTGAAATGTAAACTTCAAAACCGGATATACATAGCGAGTTATTTGAAACGAAATGAATCACCGGGCTGTGAAATGAGTGAAGGATCGATTTACGTTCAGCTGGATTGTATTCATACTAGTACAGACATGACGTGGTTTTCGCGCCATGTTGACCGACGTTACGTCAACGCTTTACACTTCGCCCAAAATAACATACATTATAGATTTACGTTAATCATTTAGCTGATCATGATTTTCAATAAGCTTTTACAGCACGTAAACATAAAGCGAGGAAAACGATTAAAAAAGAAAAAGAAAAAGAAAAGAAAATATGATAATATTTGAAATCGTATCCGATATGTAAATATAGGCATTCAACGCCGGTTAGATTTTATTTATTGTCAACATGAATGCAATTTTGGTGACATGTTGATAATTGTGACGTTCTAATTTAAATATATCGTAAATACAATATTACTACAGTCCTGCTTTAGCATTACACGGACATTACATTGTTTAACAGTATGAGTTACATTATACTTCAGCGGTATCATATCGGCGCTGTATTGTACATTGACATCATAGGAATATGTCTTATTTGCTTGTAGTGAGTATCTCGTGAACAGCAGGGTCAATTTGAGGCGGGGTCTCCTTCTTAAAACTGGTGGTTCCCTCATGGAAAGCAATGCACAAGGCCACAGTTGACCAGGTCAGCACACAGCAGTCCGTTTCTCAGATTGCAGAGAAAAAATTGCTAAATACATATACAGAGAACGATATACAAAACAATCGGATTGATACATTCACAGTAGAAAGGTAAATCACAGGTATTAATATGTTAATACATATGTCGGTATGTATATTAACAGAAGGATGGTACTGTATTATCAAGGATATTTTTTCACATTGTAATTGTACTACATATTGTATATAAAATTTAGTCTGATTTTACTGAAGTTATGACCATATTCACAGTATGTAGCAGTACATACTTTTTGGTGTGGCCATGTGTGATAATCTTGACTAAAATTGATGTGGTCATTTTGAATGGAACAATGTGACGCTTAATATTTTCTATCTGGGTAGTCTAGTATCTATGTTTAAACACCAAACGCTTGCTTTACAGGAAGTGTCTACCCGTAGTCATGTTGGGAAGCCGATCCGAGTTGGAATATGCTAAGACGTAAATAATTTGTTAACATGACAGTGTCGTTATTTTTAAGAAATGAGTTTAGAAATAAATTCCTCCTATGAAGTTATAGTTTTGGGTTGAAATTAGTGATATTTTTGCAATTTTTTTTTAATGTATTTCATGAGTTTATTAACAATGCAAATTATAAGGAAAAATAAGGGTATTCGTTCGCTTACACATTTTTTATTTCTCAAGTGTTGTTGCGATTGTTATGAAGTTTATAAATATATGTAGATGTAAGGATGTATTTTTCATAACCAATTATCTGTACCTGTATATCTCAAACATGTCCTGTAATTTAATGGAAAAGTAACTGTTTCCCACTACCAATAGGATATTGTATTTATTTGATATCAATTTCTTGGAATCGTAATGTATAGGTTTACATACTATACAACTGTACAATAGAGGAGAGATGTTGTAGCGTCTGTGTAATAGTTAACAAAGTGTTGAAAGCATGGACGAGTTATGTCCCTTATACGTTACATACACAAATGTGCGATTTATTCGTGGTTGATAAGAAATTAGAAATGGCTTATAGATAAGCGTTGGGCAGTATTTATTTAATTTCTAAACATATCAGAGTACAACTAAGTATATTTTTCTAATTAAGATATAAATGTACATGTTTGACACGTATCAGATACAGACCGAATAGTTATATGAACTCGTAATTTAAAGTGTTTTGTTTACAAAGTGCAACACGTGACCAGCCTCAGTATACAGACACTAATTATATATACATTATCTATGTAAACATTGAATGGACGTCTCTTTATGTCTCGGCTACTTATCATCTAAAATCTCATACCATCAGAAAGGAAAATTTATTTTCATTATTTCTGTATTGCTCTCATTTCTCTGCCAATATACAAAACTATGTACTCCTGTAAATATTGAGTGGTTTTGTTATACGTGCGACATAACATTACGTGTCAAGGTAATTTGTGTTGCTTGAGGCAAACCACTCTCCACTCCTTGAGGAGTGAAACAATACGATAAGACTAATTAATGCAGGGTCCAGTGTTTTTTCAAAAACTGCCAAATTGAAAATTACTTAAATGATCTCCGAACAATTGTAATATTGCTGTACTCGCTATTTAGTCATTACTTTCCGTTTAATTTTCATTCCGTAATATTAGTCAACCATTTTACGAAACCGCACAACATGTGCGATCCTATCATACGGTTGTGTGCGCGATACTGTATAGTGCGTGTGCGCACGACGTTTTCAGTACGTTGTGCGATACCACAACTATATGTATGCAGCTGAAACTGAGTGTGCAGACGACCTGTCATGTACTTAATATGCATCAAATCCATTGTACAATATGCATGAATCAAAAGTATGTTCAAACACAAGACAAATATATCTAACAAAATTCTTGTTCTTTTTTGTATTTCAAAGGAAGAAATTGGGATAGCAAAGTAACATAGCAAAATAACACCAGTACACTTTTTAAAACTGCTAAGACCATTACTTCCGATTGGACAACATGTACTTGAGACTGGTAATTCTGTTTGTGTATGTCACACTTCCAACAAATGGTAGTAAAGTATAATTTACAGTTCATTAAATTATTTCTTCAGGCTATCAATGAAAATCAATTTGTCCCCAAAATCGATATCATTCATATCAATACACATCGATCTCGAACTCATCATTTCCTCGTATTCTCGTCTTCTTTGATCCGACAACAGTTTTTCTTTCTCCTCCTCTGTAGCAACTTCATCGCCGTCGTCGTCGTCGTCAATCTCTTCCTCTGATATGATATTATCATCCGTTACACCACTCTCCGCCGCCATACGTTGTCTGTTTCTCACAATCCTTGCTATATTTAAAGCGGATAAAAACAATATATACATTGTGATACTCTCGCCGAGAAGCAGATAACAGAACCACATGGGGGTTAACGAGTCCATAAGATAACCAAGAACGATCGGATTTACCATAGTTCCGCTTGATGACGCTATTAAGAAAATCGAGGCTATTTTTCCAGTAACAGGAAGAAGTTCCGCCTCCGTCCACGTAAAAATTGTCGGGAATATTACTGAGAGTGCAAACCCACCTAAGAACGCGCACACCCACACTCCTCCATCAAACTGCCCTACCGAAGTACAGTACAATCCAATGAAAGACAGCACTAGCAGAGTGGAATACAATGTTATGATCCGTACTGGGTCACACATTTTCACGAGAAATATTCCCACAAATCTACCACCCCCAAAGGAAGCCCAGTATACGGAGGTTGTGAATGATCCCATTGCTTTCGTCCATTTCATTTGTTTGACACAAAACGTCGTCAAAAAACCAGCAAATGTGTCCTCAATAGCACTGTATGTACCAAGCAACATACTCATATTGAATAAAATTAGAGCCTTAGTAGACAGTGGGAGAACGCGAAGTAGCTTGTCCTCGTCTTTACGTCCGGTAGCCATTTCTAATTTCGTTCTCTTTAGACGCATTATAAAGAACGGTATGGAGGCCGTTAGTCCCATTGCAGATGTGATTGTGCAAGCTTTCCAAAGTTGAGATGGTTCATCTGGCAGCTCAGCCGGAAGTGTACTTGCTATGGCTTTTGTGGTAGAGTTCAAGATGGACGTGACTGTTGAGGTTTGCCCTACAGACATCGTCACCGCTTTAAGGAATGGCGACGATGTCACATTAAGCTGTTCTTTCGTCAACATCGTTGTGAGACCGGAAGTTATTGTGGACATATTCAAAAAGGAAGTGACGTTGTACGTGACAGTTCCAAGTGTTGCATTGATATGATCTGTAGTATAGTCTAAACCTGAACCGAGAGTCTCATAAAAATACGTGTCATTTCCAAGTAAACTGCGCGGTTTTCGTAACAACTGCTTCATCATCGTTATATTTCGTATTTCAGGATCGTCAACCAAAAATGGCGCCGTTGCCATTGGTGCCAGAATTCCTCCCATTGCAAATGAGAAATGGAGAGCTTGCATGAAAGATCTCCCTTCGTCTCCCCATATATACACGGTCTCGGCATTGCACACTGAAAAAAGTAAACAACAATGTTTATTTCAATAAAGAGCATAGCTTAAACTAGTGCATCTTCGACGAAGTGCTAAAATCGAAATCAAACGAACAGTTAGATGTTCCCCGCACTGAAACATGTAAATCTTCCTTGAATCAATCTGATGACAAACTTAATGCTCCAAATTTTGTCTTACTTGAAATAAGCCATTAATTTGATTTCTTTATAATCATCAATATACCTTGAGGTTTTACTTTCGGCGATTTCGTGGTGATTCTTCATCCACTGACTCATCTATTCAATAATCAATTTGCTGTTCGAATTGTTAAGAGTTAGGTATCTAGACTTCTAGAGCACTATGCACGAAATCAAGTGCCCATGAAATTGTATTTATTAAACACACGAAATTTGAGCATCCGAAGATATATCATATTAAAAAATGTTAATGCAAACATGGTATTAAAACACGGGACAAAGGAAAACGATACCGACATGCCACATACAGAAAAGTTAATGTTCTTGTCGAAATGTTTTGTAAATAATATTTAAGGTACAAATACATTGGTAGAGTGGCATAGTAGTAACACATTCACAATTCACCTAGATTTGATTCTCGAATCGGACGTGAAAAGGCATAGGTCATTACCCTATGAAGTTTTTTTCCTGGAGTGCTATGGTTTAATATCACAGAGAAACCTCTCGCGCGCATCCATCTGGGCCGACAAGAGTGATAAGCGTAAGCTGGATAAACCTGATTTGCAATTGTTGTAAAATGTTGAATAAAGTTTAATTCTAGATAGCTTCATCTAGAGCGGTATGATTAGATACCACGGTACGCTGTATAAAGTTATATGAATGATCTGAAGTAAAATAACCACAGCCTTTAAGTGACACTTGTCACGAGCTATCTGTATATACGTCCCTGGTACATGTACACCTGATTCTTCAGCGATATTATACTCTATATTGCCCTGATAAGAGAAGAGGTAAAAGTAAGTATACCATGAAGTGTCGATGTAATACTTAAAATATCCGTATTTAGTTAGTGTTGACGTTGCAGATTTTTATCGATTATCATTGACCTGAAAATGATCTCGTCAAAATCACACTAGCATCTTATCAAAATCCGGAATCGGCGGAGTGTAACTGTATCCACGGCCAACAGAGCCAAAATCAATCCAAGGAAGGAAAAAACATGTCTCGGTGTTTATACTTAACGATGATGGTAACGTGTATTATTTTTGTCATAATGACTCTTTTGTTGCCAATTGTTAAAAACTTCTGTAGCGTAGCACATGTGTAAATATTTATGAATAAGCGAAATGACTCACCACAAAAAAAAAGGACTTCACAGAAAATATGTTTACAAGACACTTACAGCTGAACACCAAAGTTTTCAAAAAAAAATCTTTATCTGATATGACAACTTGTTCCTTACATTACTAAGTAAATATAATGACAGCCAGATAGACACACACACACACTCAGACACACAGACGGACGGACGGACAGACACACAGACACATATATAGACAGACAACGTGAAATAAAATTGGATTTATGAGGGAGGTGGGTAGGTAGGGTGGGTAGGTAGGGAGGTAGGTAGAGTAGGGTAGGTAGGTAGTTAGTTACGAAGGCACTGTTATTGATATACAGCACAGTTTCAGTACACGTACCTGCGTCCAGTCCTCCACTAAATAAACCTTTAACCCAATGAATGAACACCATCAGGCCGTATGGAGAACACCAGGGAATGATGGCGATGGTAACAGCGTTCCCAAGAACAGGATAAAACACCAAAAGAACTTTGTCGAGACTGTCAAATACAAGTCCACTGGTCAAGGACCCCAGAAGGTACCCTACGGAGTGGGCAGTCATAAAGGCTGACCCCTCTCTCAGACTGGACCCTGTGATGACCTGCAGATCTAGGAATGATGGACCAAACTGACCAATTGTCCATCCCTGTAATATAACGAGCAATAAAGACCATTAGACAGATATTTTCATTCATCTTTGATATCAATATTGTTACTGTCAGTTAATTTTACCATTGGCGTAAACGATATGGCCAGAAAAGAAGCGTTAATCCTGGCGAGACGAATAAACCGCACACTATTAATGAACACAACGTCACCGTACGCTTTACCCAACGTTACAGATAAAACCAACATCACCGCACGCTTTACCCAACATTACAGATAACACCAACATCACCGCACGCTTTACCCAGTGCTATAGATAAAACTAACGTCACCGCACGCTTTACCCAACGTTACAGATAAAACCAACTTCACCGCACGCTTTACCCAGTGCTATAGTTAAAACTAACGTCACCGCACGCTTTACCCAACGTTACAGATAAAACCAACGTCACCAAACGTTTTACCCAACAGTTACAGATAAAACCAACGTCAGATATAAATTCAAAATATTTTCTGCCATTGAAGTATAGGAGTTTATCTATTTTGTAAAAATCATTGAACCGCCGCTGCAATAGTGACATTTGATAGTATAAGTTTCCAGTGCTGTCGTACTTTTGACAAATCTGAGTATTACTTTTTGATCACTGCAATGAAATTCTCCTGACAGGGTGCAAATAAAGCGTAGGCTCAACAAGTTTATTTCCCATTTCATTAAATAATTCCCATGCGCACATCTTATTTTCTGTAATATGGTATATGAAAACGGTTTTGTAAGCGTTTTTAAGCATCTCTTGCCAAACAATCTAACGTCAGAGAACACACGAACATTTCGCACCCGAACTTTTTTGTACATCGCTTTGTCTTATGGCTGGCGTTTTCCTTAGAAAGGAAATAAAATAATATTTTATAGTTTCCTGATTAAATATCATATATATATCACTCTTATGAAAGAATACATCTATGCTATTTACTAACGCTCCGCATTCGTGAAAAATATAATTATTCGTGTATACTCGTGAAATATTTGTATCATATGAAACGGGACAACAATAAATATCCTCAAAATAGATAAAGTATAGAATTTGATAAGTTGATTTAGATATACAAAATATGATTGGTATAGAAATGCAAAATATGGTAGATTGAGTTAGTTATACATGTAAAGTTTGCTAGTTTGATTCTAACCTATAGGTTTTAATGATTGGTTTAGACATACAGAATATTTTATTTAGATACATGTCTAAATATTTAGAAATTAAGATATAAAGAATTTAGTAGATAGACTCAAGATATATTTACATCTATATTGACTCTGTAACTTTTTTAATGTTCATTATTATTTTACACGGATTGTGACAGTCTCTCTCTCTCGAACGCGTCTTGATATGTCGTTATGGATAGAGGACTTCAGTATTTCGGCATCGTGTAAAACACCTGGATATCGAGATGGAAAAATTCGAGAAAGTTATTCATCGGCAATTCAGACAGAAGCAATATCCTGTGATTGGGGAATCGCAAAAGATAGAAATATTTGGGATAGAGACAAATAAAAAACTTGACAGAATAACCTTGGAAAGATATAATACAGTTCAATCTCGTTATCTCGAACCAGTATAACTCGAAGACTACGTTAAATTCGAAGAATTTCGTCGGTCCTCATCTAACGTTATACAAAACATTCGAACTAATTCAGTCGAATAATATTTCCCATGGTCCCACCGAGTTCGAGATAACGTGATCCGACCGTAGTTGTATTTAATTGAAGTCTTCGTTAGTAGCTTCAGTGTGGAGAAAAATGACTCACCAGAACAGCGAATGCCCAGAATATAGCAAGGCTTTGTAAAAACCTGTTTCTGTATTCTAAATCATTTATCATACGGCGAATGAACCCGCCATGTTGACCTTTAACTTTCCGTGACGTATCCAATGAGCCATGTCCTATGTAAGTGATCTCTCTATAGTTGTCTTTGTCTGTACCCACGGGGCGCCCTGTGAGGTCATCGTTACGAGCTAGGGAGATGGACACTCGTCGTTGTTTGGGGATGGCCCCTAGTGAGTCCGGTGCGATCTGTACGGATTTTTCTTTTAGTGGAATCTTTATGTCCAGTACTTCAACACTGCCTTTTGTTCCCTGATAAGTACATGGCTTTATAGCAGTAGTAATTAGGGGTCCTTTCGTCTTCTTCGTATTGTCAGGACTTAATTTATCGCCGCCAGGAAGACTTGCAGTACAATTATTCATATTTGTGTTTTATGTCTCAAATATTCAAAGAATTGGTAATACCAGTTTCAAATGTTCATTTGCTTATCAACTTCATTGAAGACATACCAAGTCATCCGTTGAAAAACCATGTCGATCGAGTATTATTATTATTAGTATTATTACAATGTTCAAATCTCGGCTTTTTAATCAACACTTTGTATTTCTACATGGCTCCTTTCGATGAAATATGTTACCAGGGGTATTCATAAACGTGGATTTGACCGTTATTTCATATGAACCTATGGAAGATTAAAAAAACACGACTTTAAAATCATAATTATACAAATACAAAATTGAGTTTAAGTTCATATTTCGTGAATATAAAACACATGTACATTGCATTCTTCAATTTTAATTTAGTCTTACATTCACAGCCATAGTAATATATTTCATTACTTTGTTTAATTTCCTCCATAAAGAATATCTTACAAGTGTAATACTCAACAAAACATTGCTAAAATAACTTATCATTTGTGACCGTAAATCAATTTGACTGCAAGATATTTGCATGGGCAGTAAGAGACATACATAGTAATTCAATGATAACAACATACAAGGGCATGGTTTGGGTAACTTTCGCTGATCTATGTAACTAATTGTTATAAATATAAAGTAAAACATGAACCTTATTAATAATTTAGTGTCTGTGTGATAGCTACGTTTGTCCTTATGGTCAGCGAAAGTAGGGGTATGAATGTACTGTATGTATGTGATGTACCTCGGTGTAGTACTACCAGTCAATATATCTGCACACGGGATTCCATGACAAGTTTTGCTTAAAATTTAGTTTCGTAGTCTGACACAGAAAGTTAAAAAAATAATTTCATTTTTCGTATGATATTTCAACCTCTATGTTACAATATATAAACCGCATCATGTGGTATTGATCTTCTAAAATCAGCCAATTTATACGTTTATATAACCTTTGGGACTTTCGGTTGACAAAAGTGACAAATACTTTATCTAGAAAAAGTTGATTATTGATAAAATCATAAGTACCGAGTATTTATATATATATATATATATATATATATATATGTATATATATTACCTAGTGGGCTAGAAGAGAACTTTCAGCACAAAAACAAACAATTTTATCCGAAACACAACATTTCTATAACACGTTTGGTTTCACCTGAGCTATGATTGTTTTGTTTCACGTTTAATCAGTTGACCTCCTATTAATAACTATTATTACATACCCGTAACAGCGTATGAAGTTAAAACTTTTTCACACATCCAGCCTTGATTTTTAGTTTAAAATAAAACAGAACGAGACTTACCTTCTGTTGTTCCGTCTATACATGCTATCGACATCTCCCATGCATTTGTGGCGATCAATATCTGCTCTATCGATCACCAGCCGTCAGGTACAGATCGATGACAAGTGATTGATTCACACGTGACAATGATCGGTGTCTCCTCAACGTAATGGGTTGATTGACACGCGAGATAAAGTATGAAAAAATATTGTCGATATATGATGTTTAAAACTGATATTTATTAGATTTAGCATCGATACCTTTGCTTTACTAAGAAACACGTCATAATTAACCTGTTGACATGCAGAGTCACTTGTACATAATGTTAAATAAAACATCTTATCAAATTCATATACATGTATATTAAAATGTGCAATAAATATTTGTCAAAGCTCGAAGAACATATGATATTAAGCGAGATGATCTAGTACAATGAAACGAATAGAAATAACTTTGATATCAGAATGATGTGTTGAGGTCGTGTTTCTTTTCTTTTTTTCTTTCTTTCTTTTTTTTTTTTTTTTATTGAGGGGGAGGCGATGGGGGTGGCTATGCATTTTTTTGTGTAAACTGTCGTATAATAGTGAAGAATTGTTGAAATCTGCTAGTGCCACTAGTGAAAGTATTTGATGTGGCATGAGCCACTTACTTATTTATCTTGTTATTAGGTGGCAGCCATTTAATTATCTGGCGAATGTGGTGTGCTTACTAGTGGCCGCCACTTATTATCTGGCGGTCGCCATTTTGTGTAGTTATCTGGCGATTGCCACGTAAAATATTTTCATTAGAACTGATGACCATCACGTGCACATTGCATTCAGTATACAGCCTAAGTTACCCAACGGGATACATCCGGTCACATTAAGCTGACTACGAACATACCAGTCTACTATCGCACTAATGAGCGTCAACCTCGACCAAGCATTCTCATCCCCCATCGGCTAGAGTGAAATAAGTCTTGGAGACTACAATAAGGCCAGGAAACAGAACCCAAAACACTCCCCCAAAAGAGACAATTGTTCTACACAAGACTAGGACAATGTCAACAAAACTATGGAATAACAATGATGTAGTCCAGTGCACATATAAGACAATGGAAGATAGAATATATGACGTATGTAAACAAGAAATTATGTCCAAAATTAGAAATATGTCACGTGAGAATTTATACCATCATTTAATAGTTACTTTTTGTTTAACAATGCCATCTTTTCAAATCTATTGATGCAGTTTTTAAGAAAAAGCTAGCAAAACTTAGACTCTCCTCACATAATTTAGATGTAGAAACTATAGGAAACAAAATACTCCTAGGCAAGACAGAGTGTGTGCACGTTGTGGCTTAGCAGGAATTGAGGAGACGAATTTCATTTATTTACGTTATGAATTTAAGATGAAATTAAGATATGTTATATAAGCGTGTTCAATTATTAAGTGTAAAGAATGCAAGATAATTCAATAAAACAGTTCAGTTTATACAATCAGCGTTCTAGAAAAGAAATGAAAAATTGAAAAAAATAAGACAACTGATAATCTGTTTGTTAACTTACAACTTCTGTTCGCACTCTGTCTGAATATATCATATATATATATATATATATATATATATATATATATATATATATATATATATGTTACATGTTTGTGTGTGAAGATATATTCAAAATGTCTGACTTCTTGTTGTTATATCTTATAGGTAGCTTGCGAAATAAAAAATGACTTGAACTTATTTATTGGGTGAATACGGATATTTAGAAAACAAAAATCTAGACTTTCGTCACCTCTCATACCATCGGGCGATAAAGTACAGTTCGTCAGCCCTAGCGTATTCCATGGTAGTTTGTAAAAAGATTGAAATCTCCCATTTCAAACTAATTCGAATTTACGTAAGAAGCAAGAAATATGATAGCTTGGAACTACGTAAAATGTGTTTTTTAATATCTTATGCATTATGATAGTTGCTTTGCACAAATGTAATGTAATTTAAGAACACATCCACGTGACGAATTTGATTTGATGGTTTCTATCACATTATGTTACAAGATTGCGTAATATCTTCAAATTGAAAGGTTTAAGTATCATATTTAAATATCTAACCACGCACATGATACATCCAGGTTACTTTCGAGATTAAAAAATGTCTCAATTTATTTTGCGTTTTCATGAAATGGATTCCGGTCATCGACATGTTTCATATAGATCTTGTTGGTGTGTCAGATAGTAATTAAAAATCTTCATTTATAAAACATTAACACGCGTAGTATTTCGATATTCACACAACAAGCTACAACAGGACACGTAAATTAGCTTCGGATAGGAATTGCGTTGCTTCTCGAGGTGTGAGGCTATACATGACACAACCGAAAACGAAATACTAATAAGAAACTAGATTGAAAAAACTGGGTCGACATCAACTTTACATGTGCTAAATTTATTTGTGCTACACATTTATAAATGAAAATGTTGAAGAAACTTGCCGTTGAGTGTATCTGTCTTTAAGCGAAATGGAAAAATCTTTTATATTCACAATTGATTAACAAACAGCCAAATCCTCATTATACATGTGCCTTTATATTCAATAAAGAACAGATTGCAAAAGCTTTCAGTATCCGAATTTGCCTCCGCATGACGAATTAAATCCGCTTTTCATTGAAAGATAGGTACGTACTACTCAGAAGGTTTGAATACAAACACTTATCTATGAAATAATCTGTATATAATGCACTACCAAACAAGACCGCTCTAGCGAGAAATATTGTATCGCTCTATCTATATAATATATAGGCGGGTATATTCCATCATTATACATTATTTAAAGCTTACTCGACAGGAGCACGGTGGCTATGCCAGGGGAGATTATTACTACACAGGTAAGATTCAGTTCAATTTTTTATCACATTGAGTCTTTCGGCTCATCTGTTCAGAATTACATATACAGGTATGAACGACAATAATACACTAACTTTCTTATCCAACACAGACACTATAAATTAACAGAGGGAGAATAACATCACTCATGTACATTAAAATCATTTCCTTTCCTATTACTCATTATAATAAAGCTTGATAGATTCGACAGTTCTGTCCTATTCACAGCTTTCCTAAGTTGTATAGGTTTAGATATAACAGGTTTATTACAATAATATTTCTATTATAATATTTTTTAAAATGAAACGTTTCCTTAAATATCTTTCACATTTAACTGTAAAATAAAATTCATCTTCTGTGTCACCACTGTTATATGAAGTGCCGATTCTATTATTCCTTTCTATAGTATAATGCCTCCCAATTCCAATATTTTGTGAGATGACATTCTGATTTTTGCTATTTCCTACAAATTAGATTTTCCGATAGATTTTGAAAGACAATTTTGAAAGCAGAAGTCCTCGCCCATATATTTATACAGGGCATATTTGGAAGATGAAACCTAGGTTAATCAAAGTAAGTTATGTCACTTTTTCAAATAAGAATAAAGTATACAACATCGAAACCAACAGGTAAACTAACGAGCATAAACCACTTTCAGCCTGATATTGCACCAATAAATAGAATATCTCTCAATGAGATCACTTTGACGACAGCAGATATTTACCAACCTGAGCAACGACCAAGTCTAAATGTTGGAAATCAGGGAATTCTGCTTGAAGTTAGTTTTGTTACACTCATTGTAAAGAGAGAACGAAACATTTTTAATTCTCCGTATACATGTACCAGACACATCATAGTTGTTTAACAGGCTAATACTTGCATCTCATAAAATTTTATTACCCTAAACGACAGGTGAGTTACTCAAGAACTATAACTCAACGAGAGAAACATGTCTAGATAACATAACACTATTATCAAATTAACTACATTTGATCAGCCATCAACAATGGTCACTGTGTAAATAAGGTTCATGGCTTAACTAATCAGCGATCGCGATAATTCATATCGGCTGCATAATCCAAAATAAAGGATGGAAACAGCTTCATTCACCATCTTTTATATTGGTATTTTTTCATGTTGAAGCAGGTGTTCTCGAAAGTTAACATGCTCTTTATCAGAAACAGAAAACAAATCTGTTTGAACATACTTCTGTTTCGAAACGAAAACAACTGTTGCGGCTATAGCCGTGCATACGCTGGAATATCTGTTACATACCTCACGATTACAGTTAAGATTTTGGGACCTTTTTGTACATTGTATTAGCCAAGTTTAAAATTCAAAATATTTAGTCGTATGCCTGAGCAATGGAAGAAAATGACTTGGTCATTAATAATGCGAACGTAATTTCATATTTTCGTGCGGGAAATCGGTGACCGATGGACAAGCAAACTATTACAAAAGATTCAGGAAGAAAAAAAATATGAGGAAATTTTACAGTCGTCATGGTGATCTCAATGAGAAATATTATATTTTTTGTGCGATATGAAGCTGGACCTGTTTGATGTTCATTAGTTTACGTGTTGGTTTCATTGTTGTGTTCTTCATTCTCATTTGAGAACATGTCATTACTTAATTTGATTGAACAAGATTTACATGGCGGACGAGGTTAATGAAACAAAAAAAGCATACACTCCCGGAACACTTGGTCTTGTACTTTTTTGTTTATGTCTGAAATGCTATCACAAATGTGCCAATAAAACAGGGATGGTTAACAAGTATATGATAACTAAATGTAGATGAAGAAACAACTCTTAGGCCTTACATCATTTTTCTGGAATACGTATTTATTATGTCAATAGCTGGCCTCTATGTGTGTTGATATTTCTGGTTGTTGACGCTCAATGTATTATGTATCCTAGACTGTATGATATGCTGGAGAGATTTATTAATATGCACATAAGATACATTTGGCAAAATGAAGTGCTTTGCTTAAAAAAGATAGAAATATCACCAGAAGTGCAATGATGCATGTATTTGACCTCGTCTGCAACTGATCAACCATGTCCATTAACACTGTATACTGTACATGTAATACGTCTATCTGTAATATTGGGACTTTATACTGTCATTGACTGAAAATAGGATGTCAAAGAAATACGTATACATATTCATAATGAGAGATGTTGTGATTATTTTCGTTACATGTGTTGGAACAGTTGAAATTTTTTCATTTTTATTTTTTTTCCAAACATGCTTTCCTAATTAGTTTGTGAACAGGTCAAATGTGCAGAGGTGCACAAATACACACAATACGTAATAGATTCACGTTATGATTGATAGCAGTAACGGAGAAGAATCCGATATATTGGGACTTTACAAATAATGAATAATTGGAGGAAATTTCAATAAAAATCTCTCATCCTCATCACAATCTGCTGATCCTTACAAAGTTATCAGTATCGTTTTAAATATATAGTCAGGTTAGGATAATAAATAGCAATCTCAGCCGTGAATGTCAAGGTTATGTTATATCAAAATACTTTGTCAACAAGATCATGTTCCGGACGCGTGTACAGAGACAGGGCAGTGATGACCATGACCAAGAACTTTTGGTGTACATGTTAATTATGTACCTGCTATTGTAGGTTATTTGAAGAGCTTTGACACAATGAGAAATATATCATCGTGGTTTGATAAATTAAATTATGATCAAGACTCAGATAAGAACCAACGTTTTACTTTTGTCAAGAATACCCGTGATAATCCCACTAATACTGCTGCATCTATAATATTTGGAGTAACAATACCTACTCAGTTTTGTATATTTTCAGTTCATCAAATCTTAACTTTCATTTTCATGTCTCATATAAATGACACAAAAAGTCGAATTTTACAATTATAAGTTCAGTCATACGTTGAATGATATTTTTCTGAGTTCTGTGAAGCAAAATAAGGAATAAAACGATATCATACAGTCTCCTGTGCTTCAAAATGTATACCATTGGCATCACTGGCGATGTCTAGAAGGACAGCTGTATGATACGGGTTAATTGATTGTTTGGCTCTACTGTATCTAGCTCTTAATTATAAAAAAGGTGTTGCTGAAATGTGTGTCTTTTGTACAACCTTTTACTAAGCAGATGGTAGACACTGCTGGTGGACTTTAAGTCCCCGAGGTTTTCCTTAACCCGTATGCCAAGTTTTAATTAATTCGAAAAGTAGCACGGTTCAGAATATATGTACTTGACGCTCTAAAATTGTATGATATATCAAAATTATCTAAAACTAATTATATCAATATAGGTACGCTGCACCTGTCCGTCTAGCGTTTGACTTTTCTTTCGATCAATTATGATTCGCTTTAGTCGCCTCTAGGACAAAACAACTCTATGACAATGTTTAATTGATTGTTTGACTCCTCTGTACCTAACTATACATAGATAAAAGGTGTTTTTCACTGGCATGTCTTTTGTACAAACTTTACAATCTTTTTAAGACTCGGCAGTAATGCTAAGGTTCTAGCAGCCACATTTGTCAAAATGAGTGTCAAAATTCAGATTGTTTAGGGTATAGAGGGGATGGGGGTGATGTTTACACATACTTCAAATTGCATTAGATATGAAAGTCCCACACAATTGATGCTATTTAAAAACATTTTATAGATTAATGTTTATCTCACGTTTTACACCAACACAAATTGTTAATTTATAAACGAAAATTATTTGTGAAATGTTTGTGTATATTTGTACACATCAGTGGATCAACATCATAATAATGTGATACATACATTAGATATATGATAGTAAAGACCGTAACAGCTGATAGAAATAAAGCTAACATCAACTGGCAGGTAGGTTGTAAGATGTACAGACATATACTATACAGTATCATATTACTTAGAAAACTTTTTTTTGTAACACTACAGAGAAACGCATCTTTATTCATTTTACAAACTCCTGGAGCATGAAAAGAGCTATATATACTACATCTAGGTCATGATGCTGACGAATGATGCACATTATCTGTTTCATCCTACAATTTGTTTCTCTTTCATACGTGCCGAGTCAAACATTAGATAATGTACATGGTATGTTAAATATGACTTCAAAGTCACCGGTAAGTTGTGTTTATCAGCAGATGTTGGAATTTCCTTCACTACAATGGTAGAGCAGATGACAACGTCACAATGTTTTCTCGTTCCTGTTTTTATACCTTTTCTGGAATTATCCTAGTTCAATATGATGGTGATAGTTCAGTGTTTGTTCAGAAGAAAGTAAACAATTCTGTGAACCTTATTCCACCCCTTTCATACTTTTGACAGCTGTGTAATTCGTCTGTCGTTCCTATTTTGCCAAGTTTCCATCAATAATGCCTTTAAATTTCACCATTTATACATTGATATCCGTTTAATATTTCAGACCTTCTTCATTTATATCGTCTTGTCTAGTATGCAGTTACTCGCATAATGTCTTAAGATGCCTTTATCATGTATTGTAACTTTATTTCACATTTTATTTGTTGTAAAACATCAGTTTCGTATTTTGTAACGTAATCGTATAACAATTTTATAACACTTACCCTTCCGGAACCCCTGGTCTCATTCTTCTTATACCTTTTCAAGAGCTTTCGTGTCCTAGTTGTATTGGATATGAGTTTGTGAAATGATTATGTTGACATGTTGCTATTGTGATATTACTTTATATGTTTATAGTACACTGCAACATTATTTTGTCTTTGTCGATATTGTGATATTGTTTTACATTCTGTGTTTTCTATGTTGCAAAACAGGAAGAATATACCGACCAAAGAATGAAAATCAAACTCCAAATAGATTAAATTGGTTCAAAATATATCAGAAAATAAATATTTATTCGAAAACCCCCGAAAAAGTACAAGAATAACATTACTATGGTATCCTTGGAGTTGTTAATTTTAACCTAATGTTATAGTCTTAATCAATGCAATTTGCTAGATGATGATGAGTATGCTTGTGCATACAGGATCTCTAACATTCTAACATTAATTTTTAGACCAGTCAATTTCACAAATCTTCATTTCCAACATCCAAACGTTATCCTGCTGTGGTCCGTTCAAATATTAATTATCTGCATAGCTACGTGTATCATGTTTTTTGTTGGCGTTAATAATCTTGAATTGCTATGTTCACGAGATTCACAATTTCTTAAAAGCAAAACAAATTAAAGAAAATAAGTTAAACCCTTTTCGGTAAATACAGTACGACAACGTAAAACTTGTGTATTTCCAGACTGTATGAATAATAAATAACCTTTTGAAGGAATTTCCTGCTGTGATAAGCAAGTACAACATTTTCACCAAACAGTCACTTAACACGTTTTTGAAAAGCTGTCATTGTCATAGAAGAGTGTTACTTGAACAAAAATGGCTTACGGATTATTACAGACACCTACGTGCATGGTAGTACTTTTATTCCTTCCTTCTACTCTATGCCATGGGATATACACATATCGATACACACGAAGTTACACACGAACACACACGTACACCGATTGTTATAGTATGGGTCTGTGGGCAGCATATAACACAGACGAAAATTGGAGAAACATTGACTCAGGTTTGTAGACAGTGCACCTCGGTTTCATATCAAGAATATATATTTAGTATGTTTATTTTTGACGAATCAATATTAGTAAACATCACAATCCTGAACAAAGCAATATGAATAATGAATAACTACTGTTGTTGTTATGTACACGTTTAAACAAACACGATAATTACTACCTTCACTGTCTTATCTGTATACTGGGTACATCCTAATTGTATGAGTGAAATCTTAGTCCTTTTCCACACAAATTTGCATGTGCACAATGGCTATTTAATTACTAGCATGAAAGGCAGAATACTGCTTCATATATGTATACCATACATACAATGCATGGCCACTGTGTTAGAGTTCGAACAAGCGTGTACTTAGCATTGTGTACATTTACGTATTTATATTTTAACAACAGATAACATTAAACAGTACTTTATAAATACAGGTTCAGTCAACCTGTTTTAAACCAGGGTATTGTGGAAATCTAATATTTACACCAGGCTTTTAAGTATCTTATTCACCTTTGAAATGCGAACCGAAATGCCGATCAGATTATTAGGATTTAAAAGCCAAACTTTTATGGAAACTAGATACAATCCTAAATTACCAGAAAAACTCAAATCACCGGGTTTCAAAGGATGTAGGGCGATGAATATGACCGGGAAATTTAACAGTCGTCATTGAGAAATATTAGAGTTCTTTTTGCGTTTGGAGCTGGATGTGCTTGATGCTCGTTAGCTTGCCCGTTAGTTCAATTGTTGTATACCTTGTTCACATTTGAGAACGGACATTACTTATTTGGATTGACCAAAGACTGCATGGCAGGTGTCATCGATGAAACAGCAAACACTTAATCCTCATGAGTCTTCATCTATATCTTTCTTCTGTTAATATTTTGCCCTTGTTTTGTGGAATTTGAGTTTTAATTAAAATCATTTTGACATGATTTAAGATTAAGGCAATAATACAAGTGGAATAATCAATTATAATTATGATATACAAATTGCAATACGTGTAATTCACGCTTGGTTTCATTTTTTTCCCCAGTATCTTCGTTTACCTTTCGTTTATTCATTTTGGCTTAGTGTTATTGAACTTCATTTTAGATTACGACTGTGTGGACATGACAATAGTCCAGAAATCTCAGAATCGCATGAGAAAGTTATTTGGTATAAGTGTTCGGATACGTCATATCGACTCTCATCCTTTCTTTTGGGGAGGAAAAGAGACGCGGTGGTCCTGATATGTTAGGCACTCACCAAATTAATATTATGATGAAATTCACTATTGTCAAATTTGATTGCTAACTGGATGTTTTGCTAATTTTTTTCGGAAGTATTTTATATGTATAAAAAACATAAATTGTCTCGCTGTGAACTAATTATGTAATTATCAAATTTAGTTCTCAAAACTATATCCTCAGAGGATCCTTATGAAAATCTTATCAATGAAGGACAATCCGTTTAAATCTTCCTTTTCTTTGGCATAGATTTATTTAATTTGAATTTGTATTATGATTATGTTGACATGTTGATTTTTTTTCAGTTTCCTATCTGCTTTTTAGTCCTATATGCCTACAAAACGATGTTATAAATACCTTATTACGTTTGGCAAAAATAAGTATGTCACTGGGTGTCAGTTGACCCCGAACTTGCAACCCTTCCCTATCACGTACTTTCTACATGTACATGTATATATCTTGAAAACAAATTATCCACGATGTCTTCACATTCGTTATCTTGCATTGTCATATATAACCTACTATATGAGTACTAAATAGTATATTTCGTGATCAGAAATAATTTTGTAAAGACTAAACCTTTTATTATCCTTGCAAAAAGGTCAAAAATACGTTATAGCAACGCCAGTGAGGTCATTTAACTTTTCAAAGTTGTATTGACTAGATAACTCGGGTCATGATACACTACTCTCATATGTAATATTAAACTGACAAGGCACGCCAATTACATATTTATTTCATATGTTCACACATGAAACGCATAAAAAATTGCCGACAACATCTGGCATTCAAATAAGTGACAGCTATTCGATTTAAAATATGTACACATATACATGTGTGTGTTTAGTCTGATACAAGTAAGTCTGTATCCACAAAGTATTCTCGTCTATCCGTGATAAGGTAAGTGACATTCTGTGCTGATTTCTGGTCAAATCAATTTCATATGCATATGAAACCCTACTCATAGTATATTAAAATGTCGTAAAACTTAATTTCGTAAATGCAATTCAATTTTTTTAACGAGAGTGACATATATGACATGCATTTTATATTATATAAATTTTCTTCTGTCCGCTGGAACAGATTTCTTGTGCTTTAGTTTAAAGAAAATTATTAATCAACCCCATTGCCTATATTAAGGACGTCAAAATTAACCCGATTGTAGTTCGTTGACACCGTGGTGTATATATACTGCCACCGGTCGCAACCAGGATATCTCATCCGGTTATATTACAATGACAAAGTATGAATCAGTCGGCAAATACTTTTTTACGCTGAAAGTTAATCAGGTAGAAGTATCTATCATTTCTAAAGATTGTGGTATATCTTGTTCAGGGAACAGCACCAAACATTTCCTCATAGGTTCGATTGCTCAACTAAAGGTAAAAAAATGAGGCAGTGCCTACACATAGAAAGATCTTTAGAAAAGAAAAGTTAGGGTACCAAGGTCAGTCGCCACTTCAGAGCAGAAAAAATCTAGTCGAATCAGTCAGCCAGAAAAAAAAGAAACACATGCACTTGTATGGAAAATAAGCTCTGCTGTATAGCCTACTTAACAATCTAATGAAGTGTTTGAAATAATTTATTCCCTGTTTTTGTGGTAAATAAAATATTTAGTCCGACAGAACATTTAAAGTAAAATCTTAAACATTTTATAATTTCATTTTTTACGCTTATAACACTTACATTTTAAATACGAAAACTATTCTGAACGTAAATAATGGAAATTTGACAATGATTGAAGTGTTTGAAATAATTTATTCCCTGTTTTTGTGGTAAATAAAATATGGAAATTTGCTTATACCACTTAAATTTTAAATATGAAAACTATTCTGAACATAAATGGAAATTTGACAATGATTGAACATATTTTAGAGGCTGAATATTCGGTCTCGTTGTACTTTTGTGAATGATTGACTATTCCCATTGTAATAAGGAAAGACTGTTAAATATACTTCCTTCGATCACATACCAGGAGGTACATTTACAATAGAGACAGAAAACACGTGGACCCAATAAACAAAGATGGTAGAATAGACTGACCAGTGTTAAGAATAGTATCTGACACTACAGGTCGGTAAACATGAATCTGACTTCTTGGTAAATATTTTTGCAGTCTACCGGAGTTTATAGTGGGGTAGATAAACACGAGGATTTGACTGCTAGGTTAAAGCGTTTACAAAATGTGAAACACAAGTGATGGACGTCGTCGCCTTCTTGAATAAACGGCATTTCTTTCAGATTCCCTGCATTTGAAATAAAAGAAGAGTAACTCATTTGAAGTGAATTAATTCTAAAATTTCATATTTTCTGCAAAGTCAAAATTATGAGCTACTAACGATGATGTCGATTTAATCATATCATTGAATTATGACGAGATTCAGTTTATGTAGCGAGCATATGTATTGATATTTTCAATCATTAGCATCTTTTATTGTTGTAGAAATGGAAAAGGACCAGGAACATTTCATCAGTACTCTGGACTATGAAAAAGACAATCAACAAAAAGCTGGGGATGGGGTTACATATAATGAAAGACAATATCAACAGACATTTTTTCAGAAGATTCAGCAGAACAAGAAGTTTCGTGCCAAGTTTACTTATAGTGTGGTTCAGTGTTTCGCCTACATGTTACTGGTAATTACGAACATGGTTTTACTTAATTTGACCACAGTATGAAGGTACTAATACACAGATATGATGATGGCCTCACATCAGTGTATAGGCCATATGTATTGTTGGTAATCCAATACTTTGACTCACCAGCTTATCAACGTTTTAGCGAGATTAGAAGCAGTGTTATGGAAGAGTTGTCTTTCTTTGCATAGTCTTTTTTTTTTATTAAATGGTAATTATCACAGTGTAGTATTTTAATTATCTACTTAAAATACTTAGCTATTTTCCTACGTTATTATCTATCTTTTCAAACAAATGCCATCAGCTGTAAATTACAATTTTCTCGAGCTAAAAACTAGTCCTAATGACACTAAAGTGAAAATAATACAACATCAACCAAACTTGGATAAATAGATATCGTTGAACATCTTGAAGAAAAGTTATCAAAATGTCAAATATAAATGTTTATTTTAGATATCATCAAGCTATTTAAAAAAACCCATGATAGAAATAGGAATATATATTTCATAGAGCGTCTCATTCAACATTGCGCAGTTTAAGCGTAATGTAATACATCTCAACCGTAATGACGATATTAATATGTAAGATGTGCAAGATTAAAATGCATATTATAAGACCACCCCCCCCCCCCCAAAAAAAAAAAAAAAAAAGCAACGTATGTTGCTGATATTCCACATCAGTAAATTCAATATATCACATGTCTTCATCCATTTTAGGGATGGATGAAAGCTCAAATTGGTCCCTCATTCTCAGACATTCTCCGTATTGCTGATGCGAGTCTTGACCAAGGTGGCATTATTAGGACCATCTACTACGTTGGTGTTGTAATCGGATGTCTGGCCTGTGCAATATTGTTTCTTCGTCTACCAACACCATTGTTATCTGCTGTCATTTTTGCTGTCGTGACTGTCGACATTGCTGTCATTCCCTGGTGTTCCAATTACATTGCTATGGTGACCACTCATTTTATACAAGGTTTCTGTTTTGGAATCTTTGATACAAGTAAGTACTTTGGAAATAAGTAATATTAAAAAATGAATAAACAAAATGCTTTCTTGACGGGTAAGTCAAATGAAGTAATGAACTTGCATATCTTAAGCTTTAACATTACATTTATTGATAGCCTGTGCCTAAATCAGAGAATCATGGATAAATACATAAAGTACCTTAGTCCTTAAACATCTATATCTAACACACTGTAATAGTTAATAAAAATGGAGACTTTTTTGCAAGTTAAGGATATTTACTTATTTTCTGCGAAAACCGCACATTTACCATGATCCATCTTTCTACTTAATGCGAACGTCCTCTCTTTGTAGTTACTTTCGCCGAAGCAGTACGAATATGGAAGAATAATTCCAAATCATATATGCAAATAGTGGCTTTTGGATTTTCACTGGCGTCTGTGTTATCCCCGCTGGCATCTGCACCATTTCTGACCGATAGAAAAAATACCCCGTTCTCTTCATTAAATCTTACAAAGTTGGATACACCAGATACCAAACTATATACTAATTCAACAACACATAGTTTTATAGTGTTAGAAAACAACGAATCGTTAGAACAGCCAGAACCGTTGAAGTTTTACAAAGCTTACACAATAACAGCTGTTCTTACTTTTATAGCGTTTGTATCGCTACTGACGGTGTGGATAGTATATCGGGGGCATTTTAGATCTGTACAAATGTCAGTGACAGTGAAAACAGCTGATACAGGCATAGAACAAGGGTACTCATCGACGGGGAAACATGACCTTACTGTCAAACGGAAAGTGTTTTACCTGGTATTAATGTCTACACTATTTGCTGTATACAACTCGGTGGATTATACGTTTACGGATTTCCTCACCTTGTTCTGTGTTAGACAATTGCATTGGACGACAAAGGATGGAGCCTTTCTGACATCCATTGTGTTTGTTGCCTCGTTATTCAGTCGTTTTGCCGCTATATTTTTGGTGCGAGTCATTCGTTTGGATGTATATATGGGGATACTAATGTGTCTTTTGATTGGTTCTTTCATCGGAATGGCGTTTATAGCTCATACCCTGTGGAGTCCTGGGATGTGGGCTTGCTCAGCTTTAGTAGGCGTGGCTACTGGGCCGATTCCAGGAGCTCTGGTGTCCTGGACGCACGAGGCGTTTGTCCCTGTTACTGGTAGAGTGTCGTCTGCTCTCCTTGTAGCAGCATTTATTGGTGCTACAATTAACCCGCCAATACTCACTCATCTGTTCGCGGTAACGGCAATATGGTTTACATATCTGTTTGTCATAGAAAGCTTTATAACACTCTGTATTTTCAGCTTGGCAGTTTTCTTTTCAAGAAAATAGTAGTGTTAACAAATAAGGTCATAATTCAGATAAACAATATATACATAGATTAAAATTACTTCTATAATCGATGACATTGCAAGAGTTAATACAGGTCTGGTCGTGGTTTAGGAAAGACATATATATTATCATCTTGTCTACTTGATAATTTATTAACTGCATTCATCCATTTCGCCTTATTGTTTGAAAATTGATCTACATCGTAGCATTGCATACAGTATAGACATGATAGATAAGACATCGATTTTGAAACTTATACAAATCTGTATTCCCCATTCCAGTATCTGTTAGATAGTAAGGAATTTATCTCCGGTATGTGAAACGCTATATGGAAGAAAGTCAGTAAACAAGACAGAAGGACTTTAAAGAGGGAAATAACTTGTAGATGTAGAAATAACTACATGAAACGGTGTTCCAGTGGTAACTGTGTAGTCTTGTTTCTATACTGCTCATAGGAATTCGGTCACACACAAATGGGAGAAATAAAGATGTTTTATATTTTGTTTGTTGTAAGATATTATATTGTTTACCCATCACCCTAAAGTTACGGCATTATACAACCTATGTTTATCAATATATACTGTTTTCTTTCACAATACTCTCTGTTATATAATTTTCAGTATTGATGAGAACATTCTTTTCGAAATTGAAAACCTTCCAGTGCAAACTCGAAACTCTTCTTTACATTCTGACGTTCGTTGGTAGTGTAGGCAAATACAATACCATGTGTCATTAATATCATTATCATTGTTTTAAAATGTTTTGTTTTGTGAGATGGACACCACGTTATTATGTTGTGATATTTTAATCTGTAATGTGGACTCGGGTGCCATGATGCTGTGATTATATAAAGTTATATGACAGACAATTAGTCGACAGAAAATAATGCAGCATTGGCTTTCTCTCATTTCTACCTGTGTAATACTTGTCTCATCCGGGTTAGGTGTTCTTGTAATAACCACGCAATACAAGCACGCGCGCGAAGAAATGTGGCGTGTCCCTTTCCAATTGACGTCACCGCCTGATACAACGTACACATGTTCATGTTTGTGTAAAAATTGCTGTGAATGTTGATATTTTGTGTTTCTAGGGCAAACATTTTTGTGCCAAATCTACTCCCGGAGAATCATTTTCAATTTGTCGATTGATTTCTTAAAAGAAATATGATGTTTGTGTGATATGGCGTCCTATGTAGTACATTGTCGATATTGTTTTCTGCAGCATTTACGGATTAGCGAGATAATCTACCTTATTTCTACAATAATGGAAAACAGTTGGTTACAGACTGGTAAGATTAAAGAATTAAATTCGCATACTATTGACTAGACAGACGAGTACTAGAATGTTCTATGTAAAGAAAAAACACCTATGTTGTACTGTCCATTATGATAATATATGATTTTAGTTCATAATCCAATCTCTAATTCCATAAAACTAGGGCTCTGTGTATACTATGTAACTCAGAGATTGAGACTATAACTCACATGTTATGGGAATGCAAAGAGGTTAAACATCTTATTAGTAGCTTTGAAGTTCTGTTAGATACACTTATAACCCCATTTAACTTTAATAAAGCATCATTTTATTTGGTTTCTTAACACAAAATTTATATAGTAAAATTGATATTGAAATACTAAATGTTATTAAGCATACATATATAATACGCTGTTTCTATAACCCTCTTAATATAAACGCCCGAGTGAACATAATCATAAAATACAATGATGTACAAAGTTAATTGCAATTAGCAAGGGAGATAACTGTAAAGAAAAAATTGACAAATATTGGAAAAAATGGGAAAAACTTATTGCATTATGAATAATCCTTTACTTGTTCCCCAGCTTTGATTAATTGATCGACTTCAGTTAATCCTCTGTTTATCCTCATATTATTTATCAGTTATCCATCCCTAATCTCTCTATCTCCCCTACCTACCCCCTTGCTATCCCACCGTGCTACACCCCTACCACACTCTCTCACACATAAGTCACAACACAAAAGTACGCAAATGTTTGTAAACTATTTCTATATATGCTATAAGTGATAAGTGATTCTATATTTAGAAGGTATGTATGTCTACTGATTATGGTTTAAGCATGAATGCAAGGTGAAATAATTTTGATATAGAGGGCGTGTAAAAAGTACATATACATTCATCATTCTTCTATTATTTTGATATGCTGGATAAATAACCTAATCTTGTTCAGAAGATGTGAGGTCTGATACAAAATACACACATATATATAGTTTAATCAGTGCTATTGGTGATTTGTGCTGTATTGCTAATACAAGTATATATGTTTGACTTTTATTGGATGTATGTATGATGTATATTTATTACAAGTATGAGTAGTTAGTATGGTATGTGTGGTGTGTATTTAATACTAGTATGCACGTGGTTTGTTTTGTATGTGTGTGGTGTATACTTAATGTTGATGTATGTTCTGTTTTGTGTGTGAAGAACAAGAGGTCAACAAAATTTGCCATCATTTGAAGATTTGTGATGGACAATGTATTGTTATGTGTTTATGATGATGAAACTGAATAAAAAATATAAGTTACACAAAAAAAGTGTTGGTATTGTCTTGTTTGTTTTGCTGTTATTGTTCAATGTGTTTTTAAGTTAATGTGTTGATTGGAATGTTCACATGTACATTAGATTGTCATTAATTTTACCTGATTCATTGGTAATATTTCCAGTAAAATTACAAATACGATTTTAATATAGTTTTTAATATATTTTAATTATAGGTCTTCTATGAAGAAGATGAAGTCATACATTTCTGATGAGGTATGTTCAGATAACATCATCGCACAAGGTTAATTATGTAAATCATACCAAAGTAAATGAAAAGTTATTAAAATCACTTATTGAGTGATAAGATACTCTGTTGTTAAGCTACAGTAAATTTGTAGATATGTATATATATCATAAGTCTATGTATAGTACAATAGGACACCAGAAAGGTCATGCTAATATACAATGATACATTATAATATATAAGACAATATACTCACTAACGTGTAGTAGTCAAAGTGATACGAGTTGTGATTGGGAGAAGTGTATCAGTCTAGCAATGATCCTATGCATAAAGCTTTATGTTATGGCGTTAATTGCTCTAGTGTAGACCTATGTGAGAGGTGTACCAACTGTAAAAGATGCGTTTATTTTGTATTGAAAGTGATTGTCTTCTTTTCGTAAATTTCATTTTTTAGTTCGAATATTTCATAACTCTTTCTGTGTATTGTGCTTTCAATCAATGTAGAAATACGTGAAAGTTCTTTATTTACATTCAGCCTCAAGTTTGAACGGGGACCCGGTGGCAGTACATTGTTTACGTTTACCTAGCAACATGAATTCCCTTTCGAGGTATGTCTAGGTATTCAGGGATATCGTGATATAGATCACATCATCACAAATTACAGGAACTTTACAACAACTACAGAAATCAATCTATCACTAGTGGTGTTTTGTCTCATTACTGTCGGAGGCAATTCGTAAAAATCTTTGATACATAAGCATTAATATTACATTAAAAATATTTATCGCTGCCTTACCCAGGTTTAAATAGCAAAACCATATAGGAGATTTTTCTTCCATCATGTACCCGAAAAGCATAGGACTTAGTAGAGCACCAATGAAAGCAGTCACCATAAAGAAAGCTGTCATTTTTCCACAAGCGGGAACAAAATGTTCATTTGTCCAGCTGAGTATGCTCGGCCATCCGATACCAAGAGGAATTCCAAGAATACACACTGATATCCAAATTCCGGCGTCCACAAAGGCGAGAGCGCTTAGTGTCAGGCCTAGGAATCCGATTGTACAAACTACGGTGGATAACATCAAGATAGTCAAAGAGTTGAGGTGATGGACAAGAAATATTCCAACAATTCTCCCCGTTAGTGTCGCACAAAATACGACTGAAGTCAACATAGATCCAGATGTCTTTGTCCATTGCAAATATTGAACACAAAATACCGTCAAATAACCGCTAAACGTGAAATCTATAGCGTTGAAAACGGACGCAAATATCCCAACGTTTATCAATTGAAGAACTTTCACAACGATCGAGATATTTCCAATAAAATGAAATTCAGATGCATTCGATGTTTTTGTGACAGACTCACGTGACTTGAAAAATAGAACAATGAAAGGTACTGCTGCTGATAAAGCTACGCCCGCTGATAAAGTGTATGCTTTATACAAGTTTGACATTGGGTACGGTGAGTTTGTCACATAGGGCTGTTGTATATATGTAGTGCCCGAAACATCGATGCCTGTTGTCGATAAGTTACCAGTGTCAGGTGGGATGTGCAAAGAAACATTAAATGACATAGCATTCATATTTGAATCCGGTTGCGATGGAAGTAAGAATGGTGAAGTAACAATCGGCGAAATCAAACCAGATATGGCAAAGGCAGCGTAGAATATGTTAAGATACGCGCGTCCACGCGCTGTCACTCCCCAAATCGACATCGCCATGGAAATCAAAGCTGTTAAGAATGTAACAATAACAAAATTATTATTCTGCTTGTTTTTCTCGACGCCATGTATAAACAAACTTTAGATACACAGTCGAACCTCGTTATCTCGAAAGCGGTGAGACCATGGGAAGACTTCGAGATAACATAGAATTTGATTCAAGTGAGTACGAATGTTTTGTGTGAAGTAAGCCTTAGACCGACGGAATACTTCGAATTAAACGGGTATAGTAATACGAGTAATACGATAACGAGGTTCGAGTGTAAATATCCAAACTATGTCGAATACCAGTCGCTCCGATCATTCCCATCTTGTACAACTTTTAATGGTGATATTCATGTGTAGATATTGTCTGTGTTTTGTACTGACATAATTCATGGAAAAGAGATGAACATTACTTTTGTTTTTATAATGACGTATGTTT